CACACACACACACACAGTGCCAGCTGCTGTCAGGGCAGGCTGCCATGTTAGCATGTTAGCAGCTAGCTCAGCAGCTAAAACCAGCTGTCTGTTCTTTTTATTGCTCAGATTGTGTTTGGTTACTTTATTTGCACCCGTAGGCAAAGACAGACTTTCCTCTTGACCCGAAAACTTTTTTTTTGAAGGACAATTTTCTTTCTCTGCCCAAAAAGAATAATTAAAACTCAAGTATGATACTCCCCAAACAAAGTCTGTTGTTTTGAAAACATATCAAAGCCCAAAATGCCTGCGTTCTAATTAACCAATCCTGAACTATCACAAAAGGCGCTAACTCTTCTTACCAAAATGGTTCATTTGATCCTGGACGAGCCCCCAATTCAACCAACAATAAGTCATTTTTGGTTCTGACGTGAAAGACTGATGTACAAACATTACTGTACTTCTGTGTTTGATCAGCAGTGGGCGCTGCAGGCGTCAGAGCATCAGAAATTGCACATTCTGGTTCACACCATGAAACACCTTTATGATGAAACACAAAACACATCGGTTTAATACGAGTGCGGCTGTGCCCTCCTTCACTAACCGGTCCACTAACCGGTCCACTAACCAGTTCACTAACTGGTTCCCAGTGAGCTGCAGGTTTATCTCTGTGTGTCCTTCTGCTCTGATAACTGCTGTTAGTTTAAAAAGATTTCAGAGACAGACAGACAGACAGACAACAAAGGAGAAACAGAAACAAGTGAAAAAAGGAAAAGGAGTGTTGATGGAGGAGGGGAACTGCTGCTGCCACAGCAACCAGAGCTCCCTGCTCTCAATCAGGTCCTCAGGGAGACCCCCAAGCTCCGAGTGTGTGTGTGTTTGTGTGTGTGTGGTGGTGTGGTGGTGTGTGTTGAGTGTGTGGTGTGTGTGTGTGTGGTGGAGGCTTTGCCCTGGATTACAGAAAGAATCACATGTTACTTGCGACAGGAAGAGAAGAAATGGATTATTATGGTCTGGGACACATACACACAACTCGTTCGTCGTCTTAAAGGACACATCCACTTTCTTTGGCAAACAAGAGGATTTTCCCTCTCTCTCACTCTATCTCTCTCTCTTTCTCTCTGTCTCTTTCACTCTTTCTGTCTCTCTCTCTCTCTCTCTCTCTAACTCTTTTTCTCAAAAGTCAAAGGTCTCTCGCCCACCACAGGCCTAGTCGTCGTAACCACGGCAGTGGAAGATCAAAACATCACACGTGTCCCCCACAATACACCTGACCTTGTCTGATGTAAACTGACCTGAAGATTAAAGACAGGAAGAAGAAACAGGATGGGGGAGGAGTCAGCAGTCTGATCCTGATGACCCTCAGTAATACTGGGTCTGTGTGGACCCTGCAGTTCGAGTTCTGGGTTCCTGGATACCAGATGGAGATCCCGGTGTCGTAATAAACTAAATGACTAACACATCGATCGGCACCAACCAGGCCATGCTAGCATGTCTGGAAGAAGGCTAAATAATCCTCCAGTTAGGCTAAATTTTGTTGAAAACTGACATTCTCAAAAAGATCCACTGACCTCTGACCTCAAAATATCTGAATGAGAATGGTTCTACGGGGATCCACGAGTCTCCCGTTTACAGACACTTTATGCTGATCCTGTGCAGTGTTTTGGATGTGGTATAAATTTCACCTTGTGTATTTGTTTGTTCATTTTCAGGTCCTTTTTCAACAATGTTTCTCCTTTGAAATATTCTTTCAGCCTGAGCAGTATAAAACATTTTTAGTTGATAGATACATTCTGTATAAAGCAATATAATACACCACAACCTTTTAACTAAAAACACTTCAATGCTTAATTTCAAATGCAGTAACACTGAGACAGCATTGAAGTTGCATTGAACTGCATCTTTTTGTTTTGTTTTGTTTTTTGTTTACGGCAGGTAACAATTGCATTGAAAAATGGGAATGTTGAATATAGATATATAATAATATATGGTTTATCAAACTTAAATTATATTTATAATTATTTTAGAAATGATGCACAAGTGATACTTTTTTAATTAAAGCACCATTGTGTAACTTTTCTACCTTAAAATAACAGCTTCTCTATCATGTTGATACTGACTATAAATCTGAACCTTGAAATGTTTCTGTGCTCCTCCAAACAATGTATTTGACATCCAGAAGTACCCATAATGCATCAGAAACAGCAGAAAGAGCTGAGGCCATGAGGAGGTGAATTATCGGATTAGCAGAAGTCTTGAATGTAAATGACTGACAAAAAAAACATGTTTAATAAACTGCTGAATCTTTGTGAGTTCACTGAAAATAAAAAATCAGAGAGACGTGAAATCAAAGAGAAATAAATAAAAGTCTGTGTAATAATGAGGTTTGAGGTTATCTGATTTATCTTAATCAAATCCTGTTTGTGCATTTGTGTCCGCTGAGGGAACGCAGCCGTTTAATAAAAGTTCATTAATCGTTTTCTCTGTTTTCAAAAGAAAAAAAAAGACATTTTAATCATCACTTTTAAACAAAATGAATGAAAGGAAAACAGATATGAAACATAAATGATAAGAGACTTGTTGAACACAGGATGTACATTGTTAACTACAGGAACTCATTCTGGATGAAAGGAAACAGGTCGTATTACCAGCTGAATGTTAAACTGTTTGTCTCTCAGTCAGCTGAGCTTTATTAAAAGAAATATTAATGTTACAGGGTGATAAAATCATATAAATTTGTATAATAATAATCATATAAAGACATATGAGGAGTAGACTTTGGAGAGTACGATTTCTCCAAATGTTCCACGGATTGCGTTCTTCTTTTTTTGTCGCACTGATGAGAAGTCAAAGGTTGTTCAGCTTTTTTTATGTTTTCCAGTCTGGATTGGAGTTAGGTACATGGTCACAGAGCGATCTCCCTCTCATCTGTCCACGTAGTTCCCCATTTCACATTTACATTCTTCCATTAGGCCACAATAAAAATAATATCGAACATCATACTTATGCAGACAACACCCTAATTTACCTTCTCCATTACCAAGTGACTCCAATCCCATAGATTCTCTCTGAAACACTGAACAAATAAATGATTGTAAGAAGAGAAAATGTAACCTGCAGTTGATTTTATAAGATTTCAATGTACTTCACCTAACTTGAATTGTCTCGTTGGTCTCTCCATATTGTAGAAATTTAGATAAAAGTGCAAAGCTCAAGATTTTACGGCAGCTAGATTATAATTTATTTCAAAGGTTATATATGAGATTGAAACTGCTGTTTTTATTATTTACATCAGAGAGTTCAAGATTAAGGATTTAACCAAACAAGAGTTTGTGACTGTTGGAAAGACTAATAAAGACAGTTTAGGTGAGTTTTATTTTGTGCAACGTAAAATTACTTGTTTTGTCAATGAAGTCTGGTCAACTGTAGCGCCCAGTGTTTTGGTTATCTGTTGGTTGATTATCTGTGACATATCTGTTAAAAATACTGGTTTTGTCAATGTAGTCTGGTTGGCTGTATCGATCATTGTTTTGCTCTGAGATATTGGTGCTCTATTTATCCCTATAAACAGGTTATTGACAACCACAGTGACATATAAATATTCACCTAGGTACATGATCAACATTTCAGACTTTCTATGTTGTTTCACTCATATTTTAATATTAACAAAATTAACTTGAAGTGTTAAAGAAAGCAACAGTCTGTCAGAGCGACCTGCTGACTTTATTCACTGTGAAGAAATCATTTCAGTACAGCCAAACAAGATTTACATTAAAAACAAAATGAGTGGAGCTGATTAGACACATCAGCTTTGATTGACAGTGCTATAAATGTGTGAAGACATTAACATTCAGCTTTTTCTTTTTTTGATACAAAACAATGGTTTGTTTTTCAGTGTGGCGCCACCACATACACACACGTCTAAAACCCCATGAAGACGACATGACTCAACATCCATTTATACAAAAACAATCTGAGATATAAATACACTATTTATAATCTGTATGTTACAAAAAGAGTTTCCCTCGGTGAGCTCAGTGACGGGCGGGGCAGGGGGCGGCGTGATCAACCACAGTGACGTATAAATATTTAGCCAGCTACAACTTTGGCAAAATTCACAAAACCCACAGAGAAAACACGGGAGGAGGGGCGGGGTTTAAGTGCTCAGGGCGGGGCTTAGGGAGGAGGAGGAGGAGCTATAATAAAAAAGACAACTCTGAACAAGAAGACGGAGAGTCACAGTAGCCTATCAGGATGCAGGATTTGTTTTTACAGTGCGAGCATAGAAAATAAAAACATAGATAGAAATAAATAAAAACACAGACAGGCAGGGGCGGGGCTAAACAAAGAAGGGGCGGGGCTAGTAACGGGAGGAAGATAATTTTCATTCATTATTCTTTCTTTTAGTCGATCTTTTTACTGTGCAGTCAGAAGTTTTTGTGATGAGTTAACTGAAACAAGTAAAGGCCCCAAATTACCAAATTATTATAAGTTTCAGATCTTTTATTGAGGTTTTTTTCATAATAGTTCAAGTTAAACAGAATTCAAGTAGTCAAAATACTGGAATCTAAGTGGTCCACAGAGCTAGAGGTTTTAACAAATTTAGCTGTGATGATCCCAAAGTAGGAAAGGCTTCTTATTCCTTGTTCCCTAACTGGAAGCTTCCTTCTTCTTACCCCAAGGACACTTCCATGTTCCCTGCTTCCTAACACTTTATTCTACCTGGAAAACTTCCTCCCTAACTGACTTTGTCTTTGCTTCCTTGAAGGGGATCATCCTTCCTCCTTGCTCCAAAGCTAGGAAGCTTGTACCTTCTTTGATCCCAATCTGGACACCTCCAGACAACAAAGCTTCCCCCTTTCTTACATCCTACTCAGGAAACCTTGTTTTCCCCTTCCCCTCCCTAACTGGAAGCTTCTTCCTTCTCAGGTAAAGAGCTTCCTTATTTTAGCTTCCTAACTTCCATCTTCTCTGCTCCCGAACCCTTCATTCTCCTTGATCCTACCTTGAAACCTCATTATCCCTTCTTCCCTAACTAAAGCTTCCTAGCTAGATTCCTAATAAAGCTGCTCAGGAGGCAGCGGAGAAATAAAATTCAATCATTCATGTTTTTTTTTGCTAAAACAATCTGTAATTTGGGGCCTTTAATGTCCAAAATTCTTCCTGTTTCTTCAACCAGAATTACATCACAAGTAGAGAAGATGATGTCACATCACAGGTGTGACATCACAGTTTTTACACCAACAGACCCCACCCCCCAAACACAGACTATAACATCAGAATAATTACAGAGAGCTGAAAGCACCCGGAGAAAACTGCTGTACAAAAAGTCCTTTTATCTTCTTCTTTAGAGAGCGAGGCTCCGCCCAGTCGGAGACGACAGTTTATTCCTTTATCCATACTCTGTCCTGACTGGCCGGCTGCTGCCTGAGGCCCCGCCTCCTCTGAGGTGATTGGTGCTCGTGGCTGAGGGGGGAGGAGCGAGACGAGGATCGAGGAGGCAGATTCTTTACATCGGAGGAACGACGAGGCCGGACATGGCTGCAGAGACAGATAGAGAAGCAACCGTTAAACAATCAGGGAAACACAGCAGGAAGAATCAATCAATGAATAAAACAAGCGTCTCAGCGTTAACTCGGTTTTGTGGCAAGCTTGGTTCTTCTCACCAAGATCAGCTGTGGCCTAAGCAGAGTGGAGCTTTAGTTTCCGACAAACGGACTACAGTTTTCCTCTTAACAGGAATTTAGCCAGATCCCATAAGTAACAGTTCACATCAAGTAGATTTATTTTATTTATTTTATTTAACCTGCTTCAAACTAAACACACACTCTAAAATACAGTTCAGAATATCCTGAAAAGATCTCCTCGCAGTGTCCTGCTGCAGGTTCTCCACCAACAGTCCATTTTCTGATCCGACTGAAAATTCCAGGACAACACAGATCATCTCCAGGATATTATAATAACTATATATAACTAGTCTCTAATGCTCCAGGTTCTTCAGGAGGCAAAGGAAAGGAGGAAACCCAGTTGTTGTTTTAAGAAGAGAGGAGAGGTCGCCATGACAACAGAAACAGCAGAGAAAGATTACAGGATGGAGAGACAGAGGAGAGGAGAGCGGGAGGATGGAGGGAGGAGAGGGAGGAAAGGGATGTTTTTTCTAAAAGGACACAACCTGTAAAAAGGCTTTCTAAAAACAGTTTCTGTGTGTGTGTGCGCGCGCATGCATGCGTGCATACGTGCTTGCGTGTGTGTGCGTGCATGCGTGTGTTTGTGCATGCTTGCTTGTGTGTGTGTGCGTGTGTGTGTGTGTGTAGGAGACGGTCGAGCTGCTGGTCTCTGCTGGTCTCTGGAGACCTGCAGCAGTAAACCTGTCCCCCTCTCTCTCTCTCATATAAACAGTCTGTTAGTATCAAACAGCAGAATGTTTTCTTCTCTCGCTGCTGCAGACGTCCTCGCCACAGAGCCTCCACTGCCCCCCTGCACCAACTACAGTTCCCAGAATCCTCCTTTCAGGTATTCTCCAGTAACAGAAGCTGAATCAGCTGTAATGTTAATGAACACACACACACACACGCCAGAGATGGGGGATTCGAGTCGAGTGACTTGACTCGAG